CTTCCCACCTGGCTTCCTTGGCCCAGCAGTAGTCGGACTTTGCTGCCTGATAGGTGGAAGGAGGCTTTTCCAGATTTCCCAGGACTCTCTCAGCCCAACTGGAGAGGTGCCTGGAGGAGCTAGCTCTAAATGCTCCTTCCTCCTCACTGGTGGCCAGGTCCCTCACCCTACCCTGTGGACCCTCCCTGCCCAACCCATCAGAAATGCAGCACCACAATTGCTGCAGGGCAGAAAGAGGGAAGCCTTGCTGAAAAGGATCCCAGCAGAAGCACAGCTGCATGGCTCATTGCTGACAGAGATTGGCCCACTGCTGACAGAGATCAGCCCCTGCCTGCAGACGGGCAGAAAGGCAGCCTAACCCAGAGCCCACCAACAGCAAATGGGGCCCCACCACAAAGGAGAACCAGACACTGGAGAGGAAAGAGTCTTGAGCATCTGGCCACCACAGGATGCCTTTTTCATAAAGGCATTGTTTTCTACAATGGGAGGCATAGCAGATCTATCTCAAAGAAGTGAAGAAATGCAGAAACCCTGACAAAATGAGGAGGCAGAGGAATATGTTACAAACAAAACAGGATGTGACACTGGAAAGAGGGCTAAATGAAATGGAGAACATCAATCTTCTTTATAAAGATTTCAAAACTAACATTCATAAATATGCTCTCTAATCTGTGGAAAAGTGTTGATGATCTCATGGAGGACTTCAACAAAGAGAGAGAAGAGCTGAAAAAGAGCCACTCACTGATGAACAAAACTAATTGAAATAAAATCTACAATGGAGGGGATGAATAATAGATTGCTGCAACTAAAGGAGACAATCAGTAGTATGGAAATTAGAGAACAGGAAAACAACAAAGCTGAGGAACAGAAGCAAAAAAGGCACTCTGGAAATGAGGGGGTGCTAAAAGAGCTGTGTGACAACTCCAAATGAAACAATATTCTTGTAATTGGAGTGTACCAGAGGAGGAGAGAGAGAAAAAGGGGTAGAAAGTCTCTTTGAAGAAAAAAATTGCTGTAAACTTCCCCAATCTGGAGAAAGAAATAGACACCCAGGTCTTCAAAAGTGCAGAGAAGCCCAAACAAAAGGAAACCCAGTAAGACAACACCAAGATATATAATAATTAAAGTGACAAAGGTTAAGAATAACTAGAGGGTATTGTAAGCAGCCAGAGAGAAAAAAAAAATTACTTGTAAGAGAAACTGCATCACGCTATCAGCAGAAACTTTACAGGCCAAAACAGAGTGGCATGAAATATTTAATCTATTGAAACAGAAGAAAATTCAACCAAGAATCCTCTACTCAGAAAGGTTATCATTCAGAATTGAAGGAGAAATTAAAAGTTTCCCAGTTAAAGGAAAGTTAAAAGAATTCACCACTGCTATACTGGCCTTATAGGATACATTAAAGGGGCTTATGTAGATGGAAATGTTCTTCAGCTAAAATAGTTTTCATCAGTGAAAACTCACAGTAAAGGTAGTAGACAAATTACTGACTAAGCTAGTATTAAGTTAAAACAAGTAGTAAATCAGCTATATAAAAAATCAGTCATGGGATACATAAAAAGTGCAGATGGTGACATCTAATACATAAAGTGTGGTGGGGTAAGAAGAAGAAGAAAAAAGTACTTTTAAACTGTGTTTGAAATAGAGTGACCATCAACTTAACAAAGACTGTGGTATATTTGGGACATTATCTGTGAACCTTAGAGTAACCACAGGCTTATAATAGACACCCCCCCACACACACATACACACATACACACAATCCAGTAGCAGTACTAAACAAAACTATTAAATTACAAGAGAAGAATATAGGAGTGGAGGAAATGAAAAGAGGGGAACTATAAAAATAAGAAAACAATAAAATGGTAATAAGTACATACTATAACTACCTTAAATGTAAATGGATTGAATACACCAATCAAAAGACAGAGGGTAGCAGAATGGATAAGAAACAAGACCCATCTGTATGCTGCCTGCAAGAGACTCATTTCAGACCTAAAGACATACATAGACTGTAAGTGAAGAGATGGAAGAAGATATTTCACTCAAATAATAGGGAGAAAGAAGCAGGAGTTTTAGTACTTGTATCAGAAAAATATATTTCAAAACCTAGAAAGTAGCAAAAGAAAAGAAGGACATTACATAATGATAAAGGAATCTGTCAAACAGGAAGTTATAGCGATTATAAATATCTGTGTACTCAACATAGGAGCACCTAAATATGTAATTCTAACAGAACTAAATGGAGAAATAGACTGCAAGTCAGTCATATTAGGGGACTTTTAACACACTACTTACTTCAATGGAAAAATCAACCAGACAGACAATAAATAAGGAAACAGGTGCTGTGTAACGACACAGTAGATCAGATGGACTTAACAGGATATCTATAGAACATTCCACCCAAAAGCAGCAGGATACACATTCTTCTCAAGTGTACATGAAACATTTTTCTGAATAGGTCACATTTTAGGACACAAAAAGACCTTCAGTAAGTTGAAAAAGTTTGAATCTGTGCTAAGGAACTTCACAGAGCACAGAGGTGTGATATTAGAAATAAATTACATGAAGAAAACAAAAAACAGACACATGGAGGCTAAACAGCATGTTTCTAAATAATCAGTGGATCAGTGAACAAATCAAAGAAGAAATCAAGCAATTCATGGAGACAAATGAAAACAAAAATTCAACAGTTCAAAATATGTGGGATGCCACAAAAGCTGTTATAAAAGGAAACTACATAGCAATACAGGCCTACCTCAAGAAAAAATAACAATCCCGAAAAAGAGTCTAAACTCGCAAACAAACTAGAAGAAGAACAAATGAAACACAAAGTTAGTAGAAGGAGGGGCATAATAAAGTTAAGAGCAGAAATAAACAAAATAGAGAAGAAGTAAACAATGAAACCAAGGGCTGGTTCTTTGAGAAAATAACAAAATAAACAAACTCCTAGCCAGACTTACCAAGAAAGAAAGAGAGAATACACAAATAAACAAAACCAAAAACAATAAAGAAATAGTAAAGAATCCTAAAATTCATGTGGGATCACAAAAGGTCCCAAACAGCCAAAGCAAACCCGAGAAAGAACAAAGCTGGGGTTATTATGCTCCCTGATTTCAAGGTATACTACAAGGCTACAGTAATTCAGAAAGTATGGTACTGGCACAGGAACAGACCCATAAATCAGTGGAACAGAATAGAAAGTCCAGATATAAACTCATGCATATATGGTCACTTAATATACAATAAAGGAGTGAATATACAGTGGGGATAAGACAGCCTCTTCAATAACTGGTATTTGGAAAACTGGACAGATACTTGCAAGAGAATGAAACTGGATTACTGTCTAACCCATCCCTAGAAGTAAACTCAAAATGGATTAAAGACCTAAATATAAGACATGAAAACATAAAACTCTCAGAAGGAGACACAGGCAAAAATTTGTTGAACAAAAAGCATGAGCACCTTTTTCTAGACAAATCCCCTTGGGTAAGGGAAACAAAATAAAAAAATGAACTAGTGGAACTACGTCAAACTAAAAAGCCTCTGCACAGCAAAGGACACTATCAACAGAACAAAAGGGCAACCTATAGTTTTGGAGAATATATTCATAAATAATTTATCTGATAAAGGGTTAACATCCAAGAACTCATATGCCTCAACACCAAGAATACAAATAACCTGATTAAAAAGAGGAGTAGCTGAACAAACATTTTTGCATAGAAGAAATATGGATGGCCAACAGGTACATGAAAAGATACTGTACATCATTAATCATCAGGGAAATGCAAATCAAAACCACAATGAGATATCACCTCACACCAGCCTTATATTCATCACCACAGTATTTACAATAGCCAAGTTATGGAAGCAGCCTACATGTCCATCAATAGATGAATGGATAAAGAAGATGTGGCACATATACACAATGGAATATTATTCAGCCATGAAAGAAAGAAATCCTGCCATTTTTAACAACATGGATGGATCAGGAGGGTATTATGCTATGTGAAATAAGCCACATGGGGAAAGACAAATGCTGGGTGGTTTCACTTATTTGTATAATCTAAAAACAAAACAAAATGAAATGAACAAAATAGCAGTAAACTCAGCCACTGAGAAGTGACTGGTGGTTATCATGGGGCACGGGTTGAAATGGGCGGGTGGGGACGGTGATGGGGATAAGGGAGCACAAAAATTCTCAGTCATAATATAAGTTGATTTCAGGAATCATAGTATATCCTGGAGAATGTAGCCTGTGATTCTGTAACATCTTTCTTTGTTGCCAGATAGTAACTGTGCTAGTGGGAGTGAGGATTTAATACTTTTTGTATTTGTTGAGCCACTGTGCTGTATACTTGAAACCAATACAAGATTGTATATAAATTATACTTAAGCAAAAAAAAAAAAGTATAGCTAGAAAAGAAGAAAGAAGCATAAAAAGAGGAGCAAATACAATGATTGAGAAGGACTTTTTCAGAAGAGGTGGGTGACAAGTTGGTGTGTTGGGTGATACGAAGCAGAAGCTGTACAAGCCAAAGAAGAGATTCAGTAAGGTCAATCAGCAGGATGAGATACCAGCAGGATGAGAGACAGGTTAAGAATGACGGTGTGTAAATTTCTGTTGCATTTGACCATTAGGAAATGGTGACCTTATTGAGGCATTTGAATGGTGTGAGCAGAAGCAATATATCAGTGTGTTGAAAAAGAAATAAAAAATGTTAAAATGAGGACTGCAAGTGTGTATTTTCAAGTATTCCTTTAATTCCTTTCCTAGTATTCTGTATAGTCTGATTCTCAATTTTGAAGCATTTGTGCTTAGAGTTGCATATGTTAAATATGTATTGTTTATAACTTATTGCAGTTTTCAGAAACCTTTTTTTATATTAATGGAGTAATTTGTATAGAACTATATATTTAAAGTTACTGAACACTTAAAGCACAGCCTCATGGAAACCTCTAATACAGTGCTAATTTTCTTTAAATTTTTTTAAAAGTCTTGGCTACTTATGATTCAGCAGACTGAACAACTTAGTAGGATAATGAAGACACATGCAGAGGACCTAAATTCTGGACCCTTACACCGGCTCACCATGATGATCAAAGACAAGCAACAGGTGAAGAAAAGTTTTATAGGTGTTCATCAGCAGATAGAGGCAGAGATGATCAAGGTTTGTCTTTTCATTTTGAAGTTCTTTCTTTAATTTGATATTTAAATTTGTTGAAATATTTTATCTTGTTTGTCTTTAAAATTATTCAGTCATTTCCTGAAATAGATTTTTAAGTCTCTAAAAAACATCTTTTAGTAAATATGAAGCATTATTGATTATAAAATGTACTGTTATTTAATATACTCTTGTGGAAGAAAATAATTGATGTCAATAAAACTGTGATGCAATATTTTCTTACCACCTAGAATTTATGTTTTTTCTTAGGAAAATAACTCTTAGGCATTAAACATTTTTTTGTATCTAGTAATACTATGCACATAATGAAAATGAAAATATTGGCAGAATAAATTAGGATCTTTCTAAATTTTCTCACATTGAATCTATCTGTTCTAGATAACTTTTTACAATTTTTTATTATGAAATCTTTCAAATATATAAAAGAAATAATAAAATGAGCTCCCATTGACCTACCTACCCACATAGTCTATGTTTTTTTTTTTTCGCATCTATACTCTTACCTACTTTTTCTTCTACATTAGGTCATTTTAAAGAAAATTCTAGACATCATTTTATTCATAAATGTTTTAGTCTGTATTGGTAATAAAATAAGTACTCTAAAAAAACCCATAACTGTAGTATCATTAACACACCTGAAAATAACAATAGTTTCTTAATGTTATTAAATATCCTGACTGTGCTTAAATTATTATTTAAATGTTTTTTATAGCTGGTTCATTTGAATGATGATCCAAACATGGCCGATGCATTGCATTTGAATAATTCTCTCTTAATGTATAGGTTCCTTTCCCTCTGCCCTTTAAAAGTGACATTTATGTATGGAAGAAACTATAGAATTGAGTTTCCTTTAATTTGGATTTTGCTGTTAGCATTTTGTGATGTGATTTCATATATTACTTCATCCTCCAATTTTCCTGTAAACTGAAAGTTAGATGTAGAGGTGCAATATAATGAATTATAAGAAATAAGTATTTGGTTAGTCAGATGACCAAATATATATTTCCCAGGTATGTTTGGTCTTCATCCATAGTTCCTGAAAACACTTCAGAGCCCTATATGTGAAATGGGAGACTTTTGGACCCCACCCAAGGGTGGGGGATGTAGGTTGAATCAGCCAATGACCAGTGATTTCATCAGTTTTGACTCTGCAATAACTTGACTTCTTACAAAAACCTATGAGAAGACCATATCTCTTTCTTGCATCCTGCTTCTCTGCCAGAGAGAGCTTCCATGCTTGGGGAACCAGAATGCTTCCACATGCCATTGAGCCATGCTCCAAGCTCCATGAGGCTAGAGGCTCCTTTATTTGGGACCTCGCCCTATGTATTTTTTCATTTGGCTGTTAACTTGTATCCTCTATGGTATCCTTTATTAAACTGGTAAATGTAAATGTTTTCCTGAGTTTTGTGAGCTCTCTAGCAAAGTAACTGAACCTAAGGGGGAGGTCATTGGAACCTCCAATCTTAGTTGGGTGGTCAGAAGTACAGGTGCTCGTGACTGTCATCTAGGGTAGGGAGTAGAGGGCAGTCTTGATGAACGGAGCCCTCAACCTGGGGAATCTGGTGCTGTCTCCAGGCAGATAGCATCAGAATTGAGGCTGCTGGTGTTCTAGAATTGCTCAGCGTTGTGTGCATGCAGAGCCTCCCTCTACCTACCCCCACATATTGAAATCTGTACAGGAACCTGAAAAAAGTAATATTACTGCTGTATATACTAGTATTGTTGTGTGTGAAAAAGCACAAGAGCATTGATAAAATTCTGGCTGTTTCTTTTGTGCAAGACTACATCATAGGTGCTGGTGTAGACTTTTCTGTTGTTTCATATCAGGACATATGTAATATCTACTTGTTATTCTTTTTGTGATGTTAAACCTGAGTGATAGATTCTTATGTTGCCATCCTGTTTTAGTAGATTTTAATTTATTAGACAGTTTCCCTTCAGTCTTTCATTTAGTGAAACAAAATTGTTTTAGAAACAATTCTGTTCACTGCTTAGATCCATTATTTTCAGTGGGGGTTGTAAAATGGCAATGTTTTACTTATATCATTCCTAACAATTGTTAGTAGGATTTTTCAATAAAATTTGTCCTAAATCAATTATTTGGTTACAATGAGGTATAATTCACATAGGAGAGACAAGATAAATACTTGCTTTTTGTTATTACTTTGCAGTTTGAAGAACAATAAATTGGTTTCTTAACAAACTTCAAAAGTTAAGACTTCCAGTTTCTAGCCTGGCATGTAGGAAATTTTGCAAGTTGTCACTCCACCCTAACAAGTGAAAGCTGAACAAAATGAAAAATCAACAACTCTTCTTAGGTCCATAAGAGAAGTCAGATCACAGGGCAAGTGGTTGCCCCCAAAGGGGGAGAGACTGACAAGTGAACACAGAGAATCACAGTTTTTCAGAGCCTCAACCTCTTGAGGAACCAGTGCTGGGTGTAGGAAAACCTCAACAATAACTGATAAATTCTGGATACTCATTGTGGACAACTCCTACAATTAAAAACTCTGGGAGGATCCTCAGGGGCTTCCACACTTTTGTGAGTTTTACCTTCCAGGTGTCTGCCAGGTTCTCACAGTGAATGTTAGGGAAGAATCTCATGCTCCTGGCTTCAGGAGGGGAAAGGAACTATTTTGACAATGCCAGAGCATTCTGTTCTTAACAAAATTTGCCTTCAGTGAAAATTGTTAACCATAGCCTAATTGATTTGGGGGAAGAGAAAAATCCAACTCCATCCCACTCTACCATCTTGTCCCATGTAAGTGGGAGTGGGGACTGAGAAGCACATGTAAAGTTCACAGAGGCACAGGCTCAGTAAAAGACAGACCTAATCACGGGACCAGAAAACACTTCCCCTTCCCTGAAAGCTTATCACCATATTAGTAAAGGCCTATTTACATCAGTTTCTTTTACCCAATAATTATGTCTGGCAGTCAAGAAAACATGACTTGGTATACCAAAAAGCAAAAAACACAGTTGGAAGAGACAAAGCAAGCATGAGAACCAGAGATAGTAAGGATTTAGAACTGTCAGACTGGGAATTAAAAACAACTAGGAATAATATTGTAGGGGTCCTAATGGATGAAGTGACAGCATGCAAGAATAGATAGATAGTGTAAGTAGACAGATAGACATCCTAAGAAAGAACTAAAATGAAATGCTAGAGATCAAGAACACTGTAACAGAAGTAAAGAATGACTTTGATGTGCTTATTAGGAGACTGGACACAACTGAGGAAAGAATCTCTGAACATGAGCATATATCAATAGAAATCTTGAAAACTGAGAAGCAAAGAGAATAAAGACAGATAGAAAATCAACAGCATATTCAAGAATTGTGGGACAACTACAAAAGGGGTAATATATGTGTAATGGGAATACCAGAAGATGAGAGAAGGTACAGAATAAATATTTGAAATAATAATGACTGAGAATTTTACCAAATATGTCAGACACCAAAACACAGATCCAAGAAGCTCAGAGAACACCAAGCAGAACAAATGAATATAAAAACTATACCTGGGAATATCAATTTCAAACTACAGAAAAACAAAGATAAAGTCCTGAAAGAAGCCAGAGTTAAAAAGCACTCTGCCTACAGTAGAATGAATATGAGATTTACATTTGACTTCTTGGAAACCATATAAGCCATAAGAAAGTAGAATGAAATATTTAACATGTTGAGAGATAAAACACCATCTCTGAATTCTGTACCCTGTGAAATTATCTTTTAAAAGTGAAGGAAAAATAAAGTCTTTCTCAGGCAAACAAAAATTGAGGGAATTTGTTGCCAGGAGACTGAGAAAGAAAATGATATAGGTCACAAACTCAGATCTACATAAAGAAGAGTGTTAGGAAGGAATGAGTGAAGATAAAGACTTATTTTTCTAATTGTTAATTGGTCTAATGGATAAAAGTTTATTGAAAATAATAGCAACAGTGTATTTGATTGTCTGCAGTCCTGTATATGGCTTGTGTTCATGTATGTGTGTATATATCTATATAATGTATATGTTAAATGTACTTATATATAACTTAAAGTAATGACAACAATGATACAAGGAATGGGAAGGAGGAATTAGGATTTTTTGTTATTGTAAGGTGCTCACACTACTGTGATGTAGTATACTACTGTTTTTTTTTTTAATGTAGGCTTAGATTAGTTATAAATGTATATTGCAAACTGTAGGGCAGCCACTAAAGAAAGTAAAAAAAAAGTATAACTGATATGCTAATAAATAAAAGAAAACAGACAAAAAGATGGCGGCATGAGAGGGGAGACAGAGACTTCCTCCTAAAACTGGATACAATTAGAAAATATAGTTGGCGCAACTAATCCTGAGAGAGCAACAGGAAAAAGGACGGCACCAGACTGCATACTCCTGGAGAAAAGAGCAGACCTCCCCGAACAGGGTAACGTACCAGAGCTGTGGCTTGGTGGGAACCGAGCCATTTCCCCACCCCAGCTCACCAGTGAGAGGAAGAGAAACTGAGCAGGGAGGGAGTGGAAGGCTTGGGACTGCTGAATACCTAGCTCCAGAGATCTGCGCTGGGAGCACAAACCTACATTTCATGGTGCTTTCATTATACTCTTCTGATTATGGGGTTGGAAAGGTGGGACAGGTGGAGTTCCTGGGGAGACTGGGATTCTGGCTGCTTGTGGAAAGCAGCAATCCATATCTGGCTTCTCTGGGACAAAAACTTATAACTGTGTGCTCGGCCCACTGTTTCAGGCAGTGGAGACAGGCACAGCAGCTGGGAAGCAGGGAACAGCTCTTTCCTCCCCCCAGGCACCAATACCGCTCCCCAGCAACCCCAGACATTGCTTCAGGGGCTGAACAGCTCCAGAATAGAGCTTCTGGACACTAGAGGGAGCCATATACAAATATGAAATGCCAAAGAAACCAGGTCCAGAGTAAAATTATTAATACAACTTCCGAGAAAGATTTAAATAACGACCTTGTGACTCTTCCTGAAGGG